AGAGATTCTGTTGAGTTTATCACTTTCTCCTGAAACCCCATCTTAACAGTAGGTAGTCCTGCTCTTTCACGAGTTGGGCATGTGTGTGTGGTTGCACGTGTTTTATATTATCTTCACATCACTTATCTGAATTGTTGCTAATAAAATAATAATTTATAAAAAAGTTCAAAAGATGCCTGGCAAAAAGTAAAGTCACTCATCTTTAAAAAAAGATATTTAATGACATCAAACATCAGGACTCTGGTTGGTCAGTAAACCCATCAAGTCGTTTAAACTTCCTCTGATTTTTGAAGTTACACACTAGTGTGAACATGTTGTATGTATTACTAATAATTATTAGCTGGTTCCTGTTCGTGTGTTTATCACCTCAGGAAGGTGGAATTACTTTTACAAATGAATGTTTGATTAAATAACTATTGTAACAAAATTAATTATCTTAATGAAAGCAGTAACTCTGATAAAATAAATTATATGCCACACTTAAAAAATCGACAGTAGTTTGTAGTTTAACTCCTGTATCCTGCAGTTTTGTTTTTTTTTTTAAGATTTTATCTGGTATTGGCAACTTGATGAAAATCTTGTAACTTTACATCACTATTGGTACACAGATATGATGTGCATCTTAAAGTTTATATTTTAAATTGTTTGTTAAACCACTTTGGCCAGCTTATTTCTGAAAAATTCTTTTTGACAAAAGACCAAGCTAAACATCATATTAAATTCCAAACAAGATCCAATTTTTCAAAATGTTAATGAAAGATTTTGTCATTAGAAAAAAAAAAAAAACGGTCCAGACTACTGTTTTTTCAGGTACTGTTTTACCAGCAGACACCTAGATGGAAAAGCAATAAAATGAATGATCTTAGAACCTATACCAGATCAGAGTAGGAATCTCCACCTTATACTTGCATGCAGCTCTACCACGTAGTTCATATTGATTTCACGTCCCAGAATAGGTGCCGATGTTATGTAAAAGTCCTGAAGAGCAGAGTACTTTTCAGAACCTTCTGCTCAAATGCCTTTCTTTGAACTAGGTCTCTCAGTCTTCTTTTGTAGATACTCTGGAAGAACCCATGGCTGCTATTTTCTTTTTTTCTTTGTTTCTGACTCTACTTGTAGCTTTCCTCCATCTGAGTTCCAGCCTTCCTCTAGCTCCGTAGGTATTCCTTGGCTCATCAGGGAAGCCCATTGTGCTCCTAATTCCCTTCCCCCCCCCCCACCATTTACTGTAAGAGACAACACTTTTTTTTCTCATAGGGGGCCAAACACAAGTATTCACTTTTTCCAAAGTAAAGCTACAGATGAACTAGTTATAACTGAAAGAAATGTAATTTCCTACCAGCAGTCTCCCAGATCACAAATATTTTTATACAAATTAAGTAACTCTAGCATTCTCTTTTATTAGGCAAAAGAGATTTCACTAGCAGACCTCCAGGAGAATTATATTGAGGCCTTAAATAAATTAGTGTCTGAAAATCAACAACTGCAGAAAGAGTTGATGGATACTAAATCTAAGCTGGAGATTTCTACTCAGATATGCAAAAAAAACCATGAGAGAATCTTTAAACCGACACACAGCAGAGCACCTGAGTTCAAGAATACAGAGTTCAAGTAAAATTTCTTCACAGTTTACTTAAAATGTGTACTATTGTAACTCTCGTTTGAGCACGATTTCAGACTACAGAAATTAAATCTTCCTCAAACGACTCTATGTCTGATTCCGAAGTACAGTGTGGACAAGTAAAGCTGCCATGAGGATAAAATGCGGCGGGTGGTTGTATGGCACTTCCTTCAAGCTTTAGTTTCAGACACTCTGGACGCATGCATAAACAACGTCCTTCCTCCCCTGAGCCTTTCCATGCTGCCTCCCCCCTCTGTAGCCCCACTTGTACCCTAAAAGTAGAAATTGGCTTTTCACATAAAGAAAGCATCCTTTGTATTGTTGGTCAATTAATTATAAGCTGTTACCATAAGAAGTCAGCATTCAGTGAAAACCCATCTGGCTTTAGCTCTTATTCTACAGCTGACGTGTTTCCTACCTAACAAAGCCTCTGCCGACCCCTCTCCTCCACTGCCACCTCGACCCCAGATGATGTCAGGCACCCTGCTCATGCGCACAGTACTTCCCTCTGTCCTAGCACCAAACACACTGTGGCAGTTTGTCTCCACGTGAGGGCTGAGGCCTGGCGGCGGGGGTTGGACGTTTGGGGCCTGACTGGATAGAAAGAGCATGTAGTCCGAGTGGGCTGCTCTTTTAGTAAATTACAGCCTTGCCGGTTAGGCTATTCGTTTGTTTTTAAATGAACTTCCTGCAGCGGTTCTGTGTTGAAAGAGAAAAGTTACTACAATGTATATTTGTTTTGTTTTCTAATCTGCTATCCAGGCCAACCCGTGGCCCGTACAGACACGATGGAGTAAAGACTGAGCACTGCAAAACAGGTCTTCATTCTCCGAGACGACAGGCGTTGGATAGTATAGAGCCCATGTCCAGAGTCCTCAGCCCCCTGAGCTCTCAGATCAGCCCTTGCAGTTCCACCATCTCTTTGCCTTCTAACTTTCTGTGTAAAACTAGCTCTTTGCCTTCAGCGCTAGATACAAATGATGCCAGTTTTTCTGACACTGTCTCTGAGAGTATAAATGACCAGGAAGAGTTTATGTCTTCGGTATGGAAACGTTCTGATCTTATTAGTTTATTAAGTCTATTTAGTTTGATTTTATTTTTTATTTTAAGGGTAAAGCAGGGTGATGGTTTTCTGTTTTGTTTTGGTTTTTTTTTTCCTTACTGGTTCTCCAGCTTAAGTACTCTATTATGTTCATGTATTTCTGTCTTGCAGTTTTACTCATGAAGACACATTTCAGCCATGATTACTTTTCAAAATACATCTTAGTTTTGAAAATTAACATAACCATTCATTTGTATCTTTTTTTTTAGTTTGTTTATTTATTTTGAGAGAGACAGAGAGAACCAGTGAGTGCAGGGGTGGGACAGAGAGAAGGAGACAGAGATTCCCAAGCAGGCTTCCTGCTGTCAGCACAGACCCCAATGGTGGGGTTCGAACTCACCAGGATCATGACCTGAGCAGAAACCAAGAGTCGAAGTCTTACCCAACTGAGCCACCCAGGCACTCCCATTCATTTGTTTTTAACCTTAATTGGAAATTCCTTTCCTGCCTTTTTCAGAGAGGGTCAATTTTGTATTTCAGAGAGGGTCAATTTGTAGAGGGTCAAGGAATATCTCTGGATGCCAAGATGGTCGTGAGACCTAGCCAGTGAAGAAGAAAGGAAGCAACTTGGGAAAGGGAGAAAGCGGGTGGGTGGAGGCGGAGGAAGGAACTGCGCCTGACGTGTCCAGACGTGGACTGGGTACCCCAGTGCGACACTTGCTGCTCCGTGTTCCTGCAGCCACTGTGCAGACTCCACCATTTGTCTGCGTTCTCTACCGAAGCCCTTGCCTCTGGCCAGATTTTCATTACCATCACCAGTTACATGGTCCTATCCCTGTGAAAATGCAGTATTTTTGACCTTTGCGTATGCCAACAAGTTCATGGAAGAGTTTTCTTTTCATTGTTAAAAGAAGTCTGAGCTTCACTTACATGTAATTCTGAGACCTAAAAACATCCTGAAAACTTTCTTCCTAAGTTTGGCAGCAAAACCTTTTTGGCACTAAAACCTGACCTGAACTGAACTGATGTGCTAATATGTATAGACTCTTTATCCCACTTAGTATTTTGCTTCAGAAATATCAGTGTCTTTGATTATGAGACGTTACCTCAGACTCCACTAAGGTAATACAGTTGATCCTTATTCGTCACGGATTCTGTGCGAATTCTCCTACTTGCTTAACTATTTAACACCCTGTTCAATACTTGAGGGACTCCCACAGTCGTTCGTGGTCCTGTGAGGAGCTGTGAAAAGGTTGGATCCCCAGTTACATGTTCCCAGCTGAGGTATTGGTTGAGGTGGTGCTTTGCCCTCCTGTCCAGCTGTCACACAGAGGTGACCAGAGTGGGGACGATGTGGGGACAGCACAGTGTAGCTCAGGGAGCTCAGGCTCTGGGGCCTGGTAAACAGGGTTGGAACCCCAACTCTGGCACCCATTAGTGGGGTGGCCTCTGGCAAGTCACTTCACACTTCTGCACCTCGTTTTCTCTTATGTAAAATAAAGAAAATGGATTCTACCAGGAGGAGTTGTTTTTAGGATGATAGTCTGTGTGAGATTGTGTGTGTATATTTTTCCCCAAGGAGCAATGATTCTTTATTCACTAACTCAATGTTTGAGGGGACTGTATATAGAAAATAATGACTGCACGTGAGAATGGACTGTATGTGGTACATGTCCTGTATTACCTTTCTAAATTCTGGATTCTGAAATACCGTGGCCCCAGGAGTTTCAGATGAGGGAGTGTGGACTGAGATTTTGGATGAGGGAAAGTGTTGATTTCACTTGCTGTCTAATCTGTTGTCGGTAGATTTTCTGTGCTTTAAAATCAAAGTAACATATTCAGATTTTAAAAGTGAATTTAAAATAACAGGCATTAGGTATATTCTCTTCTGAGGGTATTAAAGGATATATAAGTCTGAACTGAGATATTCTTTAGGCCCATAACTAACATATTTATGTGACACTTTACATTTATACAACTTGTGTCAGAAAGGAAGAAGTCTTATGTTAACGTTTATGGAACAGCTGCTTTTTTACTAGTCCTATCATTAGGATAAAAACAAATTATCTCTTTGGAAGAAAAAGTATTTTAAGTCACCTTTTAATATTTCTCGTTAGAAAATGTATCTGAGAAATCTACTGTTCAACTTACATATGTCCAAATTTGTTTCTCCTTCAGTGTCCCTTGCCTGTGTCTCCTCTTGGTTCAATAGCTACCAGATTTTTGGAAGAGGAGGAACTGCGGTCCCATCATATTCTAGAGCGCCTGGATGCCCATATTGAAGAACTTAAAAGAGAGAGTGAAAAGACAGTGAAACAGTTCACCACCCTAAAGTAGCCTTTTTAAAAAATCACAAACTTGGAAATAAAAATGAACCCTGAAGAGTTGCTGTCACCCGACGAAGCAGCTTGTCAAAACACGAACATGTAAAAATAGCGAAGATGAGACATCCTAACACTGTTGGGAAGAAATCTGAAAACCTGATGCTTCTCTAAGGCATTTTCACTGCACTGGTTTGTTTGAAGAACTTTCTCCAGCAATAACTTGTAAGAATAAACCACTTTGCTAGACTTCTTTTTTTTCTCACATTACTCTTTATTATTAAGTGGTATTTTCTCTTAATGACTTCACTGTGAATAGCTGTAGACTAATTAAAATAAGGATTTTATGATACAAGTTGAAGAGAAAGTAACTATAGAAATGGGTAATGCAAGTATGGATTTCAGAGTCAGACTGATCCAGATTGATGTACCAGTGTTGTTGCTTCTGGCCGGTTGGGTTGGGAGAGTTTATAGGGGTGAAAGAATTGTGACAGAAAGCCCTGTCTTGCTCCAAACAAAGTATAAGAGAGAGGTGGAGGGAGAGGACAGGCTGGTTTTAGGCATGCGTGCCTGTGGAATGTCAGATGGAAATGCTTGGCATGTGCATTTCTGAGATGTTTAAAGCGGAGACAAAGATCTCAGGGTGCAGAAGGTGTTTAAAACCATGGAGAGCTGATATGATCTACCAAGGAGGATGTGTAGGGAGAGGAGAGCAGTACGCAGGGCTGGGGGCCCTGAAGGATGCCAGCATCTGAGGATCCCAGGAAATGGATCAGTGGAGGAGCTAGAATGGGCAGCTGGAGACATCAGAAGCTGAGGGAAGGGACAGGGCTTCTGCGACTCTCCCCTCCCCAGTGCCCCTTTCCTCTCAGCATACAAACAAACATCCTGTCATTTCCCCTTTCTTTAAAGCAAAACAAAACCTCAGTTCCCTGTGCCTTTCTGTCTCATACTCTGTATATTTCCTTTCTTTCACCCAAACATTTCTGGCAAGAGTTGTCTGCAGTGATGTTTCTGGTTCCTCACCTCCCTCTTAACCTCCTCCAACCCCACCTCCATCCCTACCATGAAACTGCTTTCTTGCTCTCGAGGTCACCAGTGATCTAATTAGTCCCTGAGCAGCATTTCACACATTAGCCAATCCCTCTTCCTCTCTTGGCTTCTATGACCTGTCACTCCTGGTTTCTCTCCTACCTTACTGGCTCCTCCATCTAACCTGCTCTTCTGGCTTTTTCTCTTCCGAAGCCTCTCCTCTCCCTTCACCTCCACCCCGGGGCTTTGACATGGGTTTTCTCACTCAACTTCCCCAGAATATTCCATTCACTTTTTAAGCTTTTAAGAGCATCTATAGGCCAGTGACCCCTACATTCAAAGCTCATGTTGACTTCTCTCCAGAGATGCTGTCTTAGATACCTGACTCCCAGAGCTGCTTTACTCGAATGCCTGGTGAGCATCCTATGTCGAATTTTCATAAGAGAGAACTCTTGGTTCTCCCTCCTCCTAAGATTGCATGTCAGGACAGCTTCATGTCTGCCATTTGCTAGGAGTTCCCCTTATTTCCTTCTTCACCCACACCTCCAGGTCCAAGCCATTGGGAGGTCCTATCAGTTCTGCTTCCCAAATCTCTCTTAGATGCAGCCATTTCTCTCCCCGGTGCCACCACCCTGGTCCAGACTAATGCATACTCCCTTCATACTACTCACCACTCTGAACTCATTTTGTTACTTGATTTACATTTTTATTATCTGTTTCTACCCTTAGAATTGTGCTTCTTGAGGGCAAGGACTTTGCCAGTCTGGTTCGCCGTGGGGGCGTCATCACCCAGCACAAGCCCAGCACTGTGGAAGTGCTCAGATTGTTTGAACCAACAGATAAATGTCCTTCCTTAGATGCACCACGTTTTCCCTTTGGGCCTGTGGACGTGCTGTCCCTTAGGTCAGCCTCCTCTTCCCAAACTCTTTCACATGCCCCTATTATCTTGCCTGGCAAAGACTTCCCACAGCGCCCGATCAGACTCAGGGAGAGCTGCTCATTTCTTACAGTGCCTCGTGTGTGCCCTTCTCAAAGCACTGACCATACTGTGCTGTCTAATTTCTGTCTCTCCCACTAAATTGGAAACTCCTTAAAGGAGGGACAAAGTCCTGCCTCTATCCAGTATGCTGTCTTACACATAGCAGATACTAAGTGAATACTAGGTGGATAAAAATGGCTACTATTCTGGGCTTCATTGTACTCACCTGTAAAATGGGGATGGTACTTCATGGAGTTGAGAGGATTTACCGAAAATACATTTCTGAAAGGGCTTTGCAGACTCTAAAACTGTGATGCCCATCTGGATTGGTATGAGGGGATTTTTGAATGTCAGACTGTCCCATGCTTCCACTTAAAATATGTAGGGTGCAACCCCAAGTTTCTATGGTACATGTTGACTAGGAGGGGCAAGGACAGACTCTAGTCACTGGAGATGCATAAGGAATCATGAGGTACTATGTACACCCTCAAACTTATACTGCATTGTTGGTTGAAGTAAACTGTCTAAATTTGTCAAAATGTTTGATTGCAATTTAATCTCTCAACTTCATTTTTCAAGAAGATATGCCAAATATTGAAATGTGTCAACTAAATTTGAGCTAGTTTCCTAACCCACACTTTACAAAATCTTTCTAGGATCAGGATGCTCACAGGAGATGAAAAGGTAAGGGTGCTCTCATCTATTTTTGGTGTTTACGGATGACATTGTGTTGGGTGAGTTACCTCATTCCACTTGGCCGGCATTCCCAGTGAAGTTTGGTCTGGATTTCTATGCAGGTTTTAGCTGAAGAGGACAAAGTGGAGTTCTCACTGTGGGGAGGATGCTGCCTTTCAGTGGAGCCTCCTTTGATTTCAATGAGCCGAGGATGCAGTGGGTGTCATTGTTCCCACGTGATTTATGTGGCTTACCCAGGGTCCCAGAGCCAGGCTCTCTTTAGCAGAGGCCAAGGGTAGAGAGTGCAGACTCTGCAGGCTGGCGACCCTGTTCCTAATCCTGGCTCTACCGTTAACTGGCTGTGTGACCTTGCACAAGTTAATTAACTGCTCCATACCTCAGCTTTCTCATCTGTAAAACGGGAAGCAATAATCATGCGTCCCTCATAGGGTTTTTGTGAAGATTAGTATTTGTAAAGTACATAGAACAGTGCCTAGCCTAGTAAGCACCATGAAAGTATCTTGTCAAGTAGAAAAAAACCACAACACTGTCTCTCTTATGTCTTCTCAACTTAAAAAAAAAAATTTCTACCTTCCTTCTCCTACCTAGACACATATTGCTTGGTAAACTGGGGTGATGGTAATCTGTTTACAAAACACCCTTGAGTGCAGAAACTAAAAGTTACGGGTGAGAAAAATAACTATAAAATAAGTTCTGTCATTAAGAACATGCATAAACAAACAGGTGTCATGAATGGCAGTCAAGGGCAGAAAGGCAAGGTTAGAAAAAGAGATTTGTTGACTTGTTCTAGAAACAGTTTGAGATCGCATGTAAAACGTATCAAAAAGAAACAGTGGAATCAGGGCAAAGAGAAAATGAAGGCCATCAATGTCAATTCACAAATTAACAGAATATCTAGTTCAGTTGCCGGGGACAGGCAGCAACTTTACCTCTGAGGTTTTTGTTTGTTTGTTTTTTTAACGTTTATTTATTTCTGAGAGAGAGAGAGACAGAGCATGAGTGGGGGTGGGGGTGGGGGAACAGAGGGAGACACACAATCCAAAGCAGCTGTCAGCACAGAGCCCGACATGGGGCTCAAACCCACGAACTGTGAGATCATGACCTGAGCCAAAGTCAAATGCTAAACCAACTGAGCCACCCAGACACCTGAGTTGTTGTTGTTTTTTTTTTTTTAAGTTTATTATTTATTTTGAGAGAGAGCACATAAGTGGGGGAGAGACAGAGACAAGGAGAGACAGAATCCCAAGTAGGCTCTATGCCATCAGTGCAGAGTTGGACCTGGTGCTCGAACTCACAAACTGTGAGATCATGACCTGAGCCGAGATTAAGAGTCAGATGCTTAATTGACTGCATCACTCAGGTGCCCCTTACCTCTGAGTTTCTTAAGGGCAAAAGTGGGGAAGGAAACATTATGGTAACAGCTTTATGGTGCTGACAAGATCAAAACAGACCATGGTTTGAAGAGAAGCACATCTTTTCTGAGTGCGTGTATGAGCCTTAGGAGAGGTCGTACAACATTTTTGTAACTGATAGTAATAGAATCTGCACAGTTTCCTTACAGTGTGCTTTCATTGTGGGCTGATGGCAAAGGCTGAAGTGCAATCAGAGACCAGTTCTAAGACAATCCCAGATGTGATGGTGTAAAGCTCTCGTGGTCTGGCCTGATCACAGGGGAAAATTTGGAGAAATGATGGACTGCAGGCCTTCAAAGCAATCTTCTATAAAAGCTGTTTCTTTACAGTGTGATTTCGATAATCTCACAGCCAGTTCACTCTTTTTTCCTCTGTGGGAACCTAGAATTTGGGCATTTTATGTCGTCCATTAAGGCCAGGTTCAAATCATTTGACAATACAATCATTAGAAATAAGTGTACACTCTTCTTATGAAAAGAAAGAACCTTACTAAGGCAATGCTTGAATGGTGGAAGGTCCAGGAACTCCCTGATACTAAATGCAAAATAGACAAATTTGCATATGTACATTTTTCTCTCAGAGACTGTCCATCAGACTCTCAAGGATATCTGTGAACTGGGGGGGGGAATCAAGAACCACAACTTCAGGGACTGGAATTTTCCCAGAATGATGTTATCTGGGAAGAGATACAAAATTTGCAGGAGCCCATCCCATTCCTGTTGGGGCTGGGGCTGAGTTTTATTTTTATTTATTTATTTATTTAAAAAAATTTTTTTTTTCAACGTTTTTATTTATTTTTTTGGGACAGAGAGAGACAGAGCACGAACGGGGGAGGGGCAGAGAGAGAGGGAGACACAGAATCGGAAACAGGCTCCAGGCTCCGAGCCATCAGCCCAG